AATCATAAGGTATACCTCATCAGGGGCTAACATAAACCTGGATATATCTTCTTTGGTAAAAACCTGCGCCTTCTGTGCTCGAAAACCAACATTTTTTTGTTTTAGAAATGACGTTAACTTATGGAACTGGCTTATATCCAAATTTTGTTTTATTTTTACTAAACTTTTCACCATCGAATAGCGAGACCATAAAGTATTAGATTTCAAAAACTTACTTAGGTGCGAAAAATACGCCAGAAACACCTCTTCTTTGTAGGTTTTTACCCCTTCCTGTTTACACCATGTGACAAAATGGTCGTATTGTTTTTCATATCTTCCTCGTGATTTGGCAGGTAACACCTCCAAATGTGCTTCATTTGCAGCTTTTAAAATGGCTTCGGGCAGCTCTTCATCCGATGAATCCATTATTTCTTTAATTTATTTTAATTCACTTGACGCTTCAACAAACAACTTTGACGTTTTTGTAACAATAACACGCCTTGGTTACCATATAGCAACCATATCAAAGCCATACATGTCACAGCCTAGTCTGACTTTTAAAAATATACAGAAGGTATATAAAAATATCTCTATTATTCAAGTTTTCCAAAAAATTAAAATTATAACAAAAAGCAAGAAAAAAAGTAAATTTTATTAAATGGAATAGTTGGAAAATACTAAATTACCTATTGTAACAATAGTTATAACATCCGAGGTAAAAAAACTATACAATAGGTAAGGCCAAATATTCATAATTTTCTTTCCCGCACTAGTGCGGGAAAGTGACACTTTCAAAACTAAAATGCGTGCGGGAAAGTGGGTAAAAATACACGGTCGTAAAAAAACTATATTTTAAATTTTACCATAAATACAAAAACCTATATTCTAAACAACAAATTAAAAAGAAAAAACAAAAATAATTAATAAAATAAACAGATTTTAACATTATTTTATTAACATTCATATTTTAATAGAAACACATAATTAAAAACCTATATTCTAAATTCTAAACAACAAAACCTTTTATTATAGCATTTATAACTGTAATTAAAAAGAAAAAAGTTGAAAGCAAACAGATTTTAACAATATTTTGTTAACACTGATATTGGTATATCCTCATCTGATGAGTTATTAATATCAATATACGGGGCTGAGAAATAATCGGCCTCGACAAGAGTTGGCGGCGCTAGGAACAAATGCAATTGTTTTTCGTAAAAACTATCTTTCAAGTGACTTCTGTCAAATTTTCAGCGAGCCGCGTCACTTAGTTTGTACTTGACAGTGATTGAATTCAAAAGATTTTGCATTTTTACAAAAATGAATAAAATCAAATATTGCGCAGTGATTAGATTCTTGTTTTTAAAAAAGAAAACGAACGATGAGATCAAAATCGAACTGGATGATGTGTATGGGGACTCCGCACCTTCGTTATCAACAATAAAATATTGGACTGCCGAATTTAAACGCGGTCGTACGATAATTTTTGATGATGAGCGTCCAGGCCGTCTAAGAGAGGTCACCACACCAGAAGTGGTCGATAAAATCCCATAATTGACGATTGACTGGTAAGAGTGTGTGAGATTGCTGAGGCTGTGGGCATCTCACGTGAACGAGTGGAGAATATACTGTACGAATATTTGGGAATGACGAAGCTCGCTGCCAGATGGGTGCCACGTTTGCTCAATGCCGACAACAAGCGAAACCGTGTGACAACTTCAAAGGAGTGTTTGGCAATATTTAACCACACTAAGAAGGACTTTTTGCGCCGTTTTGTAACCATGGATGGAACATGGATTCAACACAATACGCCAGAGACGAAGGAACAGTCAAAGTAGTGAGTCTCTCAGGGCGAGTCAAAACCAAAGAAAGCCAAAGTGGGTCTGTCTACCAACAAGGTCATGGCCACAGTTTTTTGGAATGCGCACGGTATAATTCATATCGATTACCTTGAAAAGGGCAAAACCATCACCGGCGATTATTATTCAAAGCTGTTGGACCGATTCGACGACGATTTGAAGCAAAAACGACCGCATTTAGCGAAGAAGAAAGTGCTGTTCCACCAGGACAACACACCAGCGCACAAATGTGCAGTCGCAATGGCAAAACTGTATGAATCGCGTTACGAATTGGTTCCTCATCAGCCATACTCCCCAGATTTGGCGCCCAGCGACTATTATCTGTTTCCAAACTTGAAAAAATGGCTCGGTGGTAAGATATTTGAGTCGAATGGGGAGATCATCGCTGCGACAGAGGGCTATTTTAAGGACTTCGAGAAGTCGTATTATTCGAAGGGCATCGAAAAATTGGAGAATCGTTGGACAAAGTGTATAAAGCTTAAAGCGGACTATGTTGAGAAATAAATTGAGTTTTGCCAAAAAAAGTTGTACTTTCTTGCCTAGGCCGATTATTTTTCAGCCCAGCCTCGTACCATCTCGATCGGGTTAAGCTCGAAATGATATGGTGGTAAGCATAAAACAGTTACCATTTATTTTGCAACCATTTCCTCAATCTTATATTTGTCGTATTGGTCTCTGTATGCATTGGAAACTTCAAGCAGCTCAAATAAACAAAATATGAACCGTGATTGGTGGATTTCATATTTGTGCAGTGTTTTTACTAGGTAGAATGGATATGAAATATATTCGTTCAGTTAAACGCAATGGCATACTTGTTCACATGTACTTATATTCACAAATAATATAATCATTTGTGTACATTTTTTGTTTGCTTAGAATTAGTCACATTACCTTTAAATTTATTTATTATTATGTTTTGTTAAAAAATACCGTCATGTCAGCGTCGCTTCTAGCAAAAGCCGTGTGTGAGAGCTCCTTTCTTGTCCAAGGTGTGTAAAGCTGGCTCTGAAACGATCAAAATGGCAACTGTTTCTCTTTTTCTGACCGACAAATCATATTTTCTAGTGGTGACATTACTTGTCTCGTGGAACACTTTTATTGGCTACGAAGTGACGCTTATATATCACAAGAGGGTGACGTAATCGTTTTGTCGATTTCAGCGTTGCAGAGTAATGATGCAGGTGCGACGCAAGATGCAATGCTGCAGGAGTGGCGCTAGATACAATGTTGAGGGTATCTCAACAGAGTCAAATGAGTAATTTTATTCAAACGTACATTCGTACTGCGTCGGCAGTTGGACCAAGAACGTATTGGGGAACGTATGTCTTTGGAACCGCCACTTCTGCAACCCCGACACTGTTAAAAATTGTACGTCTGTCAATAGTTGGAAAGCAGTCCAGCGATGGATAGTAGTGTGACCGAAATATCATATGTACGTTCAGAGCGGACGGACTTAAGTGAACGCAGTGAAACGTATGACCGACGTATAAAACCGGCCTTAGGAGCATAATCTAAACAAGCTGATTTAAGGCAACCGGACGACTATCATTACTCAAATCTTAAAAAAAACCGACAAATTATATAACTAGTTTATTAGATTTAAACGCCATTGTAACGAAATCGTTGAAGCATGTCAGTTAATGGAACCTTTCCGCATCTTGACTCGGCGTTTCTATAACCTTTGCACTTACTTTATATCTCGACTCGTCAAACCGCAAATAATTGTTTAAAAAATCGAAGCCGTGACATAAATATACATGACGGTGTTAATTGTTGTTTTTTTCTTTTTAATTTTATGGTTTAGCGCAAAAATCGAAAGTGTAAATATGTAAAGGGAAGGCCTTGATCGGGTGGTTTTTTATTTCTGCGGTTGCGAGATTTATTAAAAGTATTGTGGTTTTATTATAGATGTGGTTTCTTATATAAAGATCGTTCAGTCGTTAAAAAAAATAAAAAAAAACTAATTTAAAAATTTATAAATGTAAAAAAATAATAAAAAATGGAAAAATTCAAGATTTAAAAATTAAAAAACATTGAAATCTAACAAAACGGTACGTTATTTCAAACTTAAGGTGCTTATAATTTTCAGACAAGGATATTTCAGAAAATGATTTTGTTAATAAATTTAAATTTTGGCAAAATAAATAAGGTAATATTATTTAGACACGCATATATTTTAAAGTATTAATTCCTTCCAGTCTCCGTAAAAAAAAGCTTTAAAATTTTAAATATCATAATTAAAATAAATGCATTCCTCAACAGCACTATTTCTAATATAGTCCCCAAATTTAAGCTCTTAATGTCTTATTAATTAATATTTAAAATTTTCTACGGATTCTGTTAAACTAAGATAGCTTATTTGGCACCCTCTATGCGATACACCAAAAATTAGAGTTTATTCGAGTTACTCACATCAAAAACTTATTTATACGGACTTTTATGTTTATATGTGACAAAATAAATGAGAGAACATTATTGAATTATTTTAATAACTTTAACACACTATATTTCACCAAATATTAATATTAGACCCCTAGTTATTAAGCAAAATATTCATATTTTCCGCTATAGAATCTGCAAGTAAAATGTTACCCGTATCTTATGAATCATTAAGGAAATTAAAAAATAAATCTGCATAAATCTTTTTCTGTATAAAATCCATTATTCAAATGTAAAAATTAAAACATTTCAACATCATTTCTAAATCTTAATAATTTGCAGACAGAATTTGGAATTTTTCCCAATTCCATTTCCCAGATTTTCCAGAACACCTCAAGTTTATAAATAGGTTGCTAAGCATCTCCTCTCTGCCGAATTAAGTCTTTTAAATTTTCCAATTTCCTCGAAGTTTTATCTCGACTTCACTTTAAGCCCAGGAGGTATATTTTCCGCAAAGTCATTCAGGAATGAACAGAACAAAAAGGTATAGAAATAGGTGATGTTGCATTTTAAAAAAAGCAAGCTTCCATTAAATAATGACTTCATAGTCTAACAATAAAATAATTACCAATAATTAAATGATTACTTTCGCTGGACGACCTCTAAGCAATCTTGTTAATGTATGTCTTTTTTGCAGACATTTCAATAATTTCACGAACACGTAATAACATATTAATCAAATTTGCCTGCTGAATGCACGTGATCACGAGCAACGTTACGACTTACGTCATGCGATGTTCGACCATCAACGACAATAATAGGATGTTAATTTTTCTCATTTTTTTTTTATTCTTTACCTCATCGTATAGCGTCACTCGTAATTATTGTATACAGGAAAAGACGAACCATATAAATCAAAGAATATTTTTAATCTTATCTGAATCATAGGAAATCGATTGCTGAATGAGATATTTCAATATTTCGCCTATATAATATAATTTTTTTATTAAAAGGTCTTCCTTTCTTGGAAAAAATGGTGATGCAGACAGTATTAATTAAAAAAACCCAGAGTTGGCACATCAATAAACCTAAGCACTTTTGCTACGGTCTTCTAAGCAGCAATGATTGGCGTAGAATTGTTAGCGAGAGAGTTGATCAATCTTTCTTTTTATAACAAATTTTTAAAGAAGTTTTTCCTTAAAGACCTGAGCTCTAACCAAGTTAACTCAAGGCTAGTTTGGAACTGTATACATACCTTCGAATTAGTTTGATCTAAGTTTCAGGACACGCGGTCGCTAAAGGAGGAACATGCTTAAAGAATTATCTTCTAAGGGTAAAACACTCATGTACTGAAGAGATACCACAGGATGAACTCATTCGAAGACGTTAATATCCACCTCTTCTATGAACGTCTTTGTTCAGAGTTAAAAATGGAGTTGAAACACATTTTAACAGAACTGATGAAAGATAACCAATATAAGAAAGATAGGTCTGTATCAAACATTAGACTGTCGATTGTGCAGCGTAGAGACGAATCTGCAGAACTCATTTTATGTAGCTGCTTCTGCTTGGAAAGAACTAGGTTCCAGATCATTGGCTTCACTCGACTGGAGCCTAACCGATTTTAAAACCATTAAAACCATGGTCTACATCAGAAGACGGTGAACAATATGTCCATCTTTGTCGAAGAGGAAGGTTATATGATCATTCCTCTCGTTTTTACCTAATCTAATATCTTGAATGCTACTAGAAGAATGTGAAACATAAGAATTGCAAGTAGAATTAACTACAGATAATGGTGGGTGGGGTTTTCCTCACCTGTAAGTCAAATAGAACCATAAATCATGTGTAAGTCGCATCGAGCAACAATGCAAATAATAATAAACGACCCTACCTCACTCAAGCTCTGCTCCTGCGGTTAAAATTTACTCTTAAGGGGATGAATTACAGTAAGAGTATTATTATAGAAATGAGCTCCTAAGGAAAATAGAGGCGAAAACAAGACAAGACCGAATAAGCAATTAAACTTACCGAGAACAACTTAAAATAAAAGCAATGAATAAAATAAACCAGCACATGAAAGAACATTTTTTGTCCTTTTTTGAATAGAAGTTTTCTCCTAACTTTCTGAGTACCAACAATAAAAAATGTAAAAGTAAATTAAACTTATAGAGAACAACTCAAAATAAAAACGATTAATAAAAGAATGCAGCATATAAAACCATATTTCTCGTTCTTTTTTGAATAATTTTTCTCCAAACTTTCTGATTACCGATATTAAATCGTAGTTTATCCTTCTGTTTACGGTGCTTAAGCCGTTGAGATTTGGGAAAACCAGATGATACCGAATAAGAAATTAAACTTACTGGGAACAACTCAAAATAAAAGCAATAAATAAAAGAATCCAGCACATTTCTCGCTTCTTTTTCGAATAGTAATTTTTCTCCTAACTTTCTGATTACCAATATTAAATCGTTCTTTATCCTTGTTTTACGGGTCTCAAGGCGTTTAGATTTTATTTCGATGCTAATCCATTGTAGGGTGAATGAATTAAGACAGGTATCCCAGAAAAAAGTTTATGGAATATTTTAGTTATTTTATGAATTATACCTTAAATATCTCCAAATACTTCGGCAAAAAAAATGTACGTAATTATAGATTTATTATCGACGTTTCGGACAAAACATTTTATTCACCATCAGGTTACTGTTACTGTTATACAAAAAAGCCGAAATTCTGGTTTTCGGCAAACTTCCTACCTTTATTTCACAGCCTTAATATCAATTTTAAAACTCCTCTTTATCCAGAAATCCATTCAAAAAGCAACACTTCTTCCTCGATGATAATATCCTTCCTACTTATTTGTAAACACACTAGAGAAACAAACACCTATTGACGAAAGCTTTTAGCGAAACAAGTCACTTTTAATCTAAAAACTTCGAGAAAAGAATATCGAGAGAAAAGTGGGGTGTACGTTTCCCGGGATTTTTCGCCCGATAATTTTTGCCGCCTGTGTTTCTTTTATCGTCCGATGCAGCGCGACAGGTGCACTACAGTGTTTTGTTTACTGTTTATCGTGGCCTACTGCCTACTACATAACTACTGATGTTTGATGTTGATGTAAATGCCGTAAAAAGAAATAAACAGAGATGGCCTTGGACCGAGGCGGACGAGTCACATCGGCGTTCGTTAATTGGGTAATTTTGTTTTTGTTTTACGAATTGCCGCTCCGGTGTGTTGAATATGTTCGAAGCGGGGTCAAGGGTTGAGCGCGATTGTAATTTTTTTTGTGCGGATGATACGGTCTAATGGCCGCCCCTCTCGGCATTTGTAACTAGACGTTAACAAAAGCGTATTAAATAATGTCGAGCACTATAAATAACGTAAAAAAACCATTCCCAATTTGCTGTAATTTGTACTTGTAATTTTTTTGCTACTGGCAAATTTATACATTTTATTAATCAATGTCCGCAATTAGGGATACCAGGGGTAGTATTCTCGAGTCACGAATATAGATTCGCATGCGAGATTTATGATTTGTCTCACTTGGTTTTCGTTCAACAAAGTGAGACACATTATAAAACACGTATGCGAATGTCGGTATTCGTGATTCGAGAATACTACCCCCGGACCAACAGTAGAAAAGTCGGATTCTGCATTGTATTTTTAGTCTCTGTCACTGCGGGAACCGACTATTCTCGAAAATGAATAGAGTGCCGTTCATTGTGGGAAATTATATTCGAACTTCTTGTTTGGGGCATTTGCAGCGGGAATCGATTATTTATAGGTACGTGTGTATGAGGGTGGGAATTGGTGGTGATTATGTTACATTTATATTGGTAGACTTAAAATCCAAAGTTAGATCCAAATTATCTTTTATTAGAGAAGTCTTCAAGGCAATTTTTGTGAGTATTTTTACATTCCTCAACTTCTTCTTGAATTCTTGAATTTTTAAATTCCTCGATTTTCACATTATATTTTTTCTAGCTTCATTGTTCAGAAGATAGAATGTTTTAAATATGTCTTGAGCTTCTTCTTCTCCTGCGAAATTTAAGAAAATGGCGACTTTTCTTTCATCTTTGGTAGCCAGGTTGCAGGACGTACACTCAAATATTTTTTTTTTTTAATTAATTTTATTTAAAAAAACTACAAACTAATTCTTTCAAGTGAATATTATAAAATATAGCAGCAGACCGAACTAAAAATGTAACGAAATACAACTAACAATATAATGTGCATAATAAGATAAAATAAATAGATCGTAAAGAATAACGAGTTTTAAAATTCAGTATTCTTCTTTTTAGGGTTTATGTTACATAGGAGTAGACATAATTAGTGTTAGAAATAATTAGTAAAATCCTTATTTCGTTTAAATGTGCAGTAGGGAATTCTAGTTAAGGATTAACATGTAAGCACGATCAAAAAAAGGATTTAATATAATATTTCAGGATTAAATTATAATATAAAAATATTTAATGATATAGAAATTAATAATGTCATCAAAATTACACTCACTATGTTGCGGTGGCGAAGTTTCAGAAATTTAAAATTTTAAAAATCGAGATGTCTGTTTCTTTTTGAGTGGAGTTTTGAGGTTTGTCAAGAAATTGAAAAATTGTTTTTTTAATAGTCAGTTAAAAAATAATTAGTTGGAAAAGATTTGGAGTGTTAAAAGTTAAAAATAATTGAATAGGTCAAAAAAGTTTTTTTAATTAAAAGTTAGGTAAAAAAGAGATAGATACCAGAGGAACTAGGAGGGCAAAGTACTGAGGACAGAAAGCGGAACAGAGCCGATAGATCAGATAGATCAGGTAGGTACCAGTTAGATTCCAAAGAGAGATAGAGCAGAGGTAAGCAGATGAAAACAGGAAGGAACCAAGTCGCAAGAGAGAAAAGTTACAAAAGAATATATTTGTGATCATTATTTATTTTTATTATTTTTCAGTATTTTTGTAAATGTTATAAAACGAATCACCCCTGTAAGAGTATTAGACAAGGGATTGAACATTTATTAAATTACAGGTTTCAATATCAATAAATTATAAACCAACAACTATTGTAGAAAGGTAAGTTTCTTTATTATAGAAAAAATAAGTGTTTTAAGTGATTGTATTTGTCCTACAAGTCATTCTAAAAAAGATTTATTTCCATGTGCTTTCTCATATGTCAATTTTAAAACAAAATGTGAGATCGTACGAGCTTGTTCACTCAAAATGCGTTTTTTTTATTTCACTTATATTTGACAATATCTCAAAATACACAACTTCGAGTGTAATGTATTAAGATATAAGTGATCAGCTTAAAATCCAGAACTAACTGAGCTCAGTTTTTTATTCATTGCGCATTTGACCTTGGCGGCTTGTACTGTAAAAGGAGCAGATGTGATGGCATGAATTCTTAAGACTATTATTGGGGGACAACAATTGAAACAACGTTTGGCAACATAAAAAGGTTAAAGAAGCAAGAGAATTTTAATTTCTTGTCATAACAGCTAACGTAAGAATATTACATATCACATTGTATATTTTTTTATTATCTATTTCAAAAATTTTTTACATATTTCTTTTATTGAATTATATTTATCATTTCCGTCTTTTTTCTGCTTTCTGAACCCAAGTCACATGTTTTTTTTTTTTGTATTAAAATTGCTAGATATATTTTTCCTGCTTCATGCAACGAATATTTTAACTTTTTTTTTAATAAACAAACGACTCGCTCTAGTTTCTCACGCGAGCGATATCGAATATATTTATGACGATAAGCTTTTTTAATCGACATCTACTAGAATTCTTTGTATGTAAGACCCAAATGCGGTGTTTAGAATTATGTGCGTTTTTTA